GCCGGCCGGTGGCGATGGCTCCCGGTGCAGTTTTGGCAGCTTTCTGATGCCGGGCTGAGCTCGGTGAAGGTGAGTGTGACTCCGGCGGGGCTTCACGTACCCGGCTGCAGCCTCACCCTCCGGAGATGCAGTCCGTGACCAAAGTCCACGCAGGACTGCGAGCCACAGGTTTCCTCAGAGGAGGGATATGATCTCTCCTGCGGTGAGCTGTGGGGGGGAACCGTCAAACGAGCTTTTGAGCACAGGAGTTTGTTGGGAGAGTGGGATGCTGCAGTCGGAGATGAGATAACGGCTCTGTGTTCCATGTGGGACAAGGCTTGGGGCATCCAGGGTGATACAACGACCCCCAGCCCCACCGCCCCACCCTATGTGGTGCTCCCATGGCTCAGCCTCACTGCTCATCTCTTTTTTTTTTTCCCCACTTTACAGCACTTCTTCACCAAAGTTTCCACAGTCTCAGGCTCTGCCTTCTGGTTTTTGAGGGTGTTTTTAGTCCCCAGACCTCATGGATGCTGCTAGAATAGAGCTTTTCAATCAATTTGACTTCTTATGTGTTATGAAAATACTTGAAATCTGAGGTGTGCGTCAGTGTCCCCCCCTTTCCACACTTACAAAAAGCAGATGAGAGCGATGAGGAGCAACTGCAGGGGCTGGCTCCTAAATCCAGGAGTCTTTAGATCAAGCAGGCTGGGGAGGAGAAGCTGCTCCTTGCTTCCAAGTTGTTGTTTCCCAGGTCTTGTTCTCCTTCTGTAGAAATAAATACGTCACACTGTGTCTTTCCAGGAGAGTACATTTGGGTGAGCAGGGTGGGCTTGGCCCCCCACACCTCGGCTCGGTGCCCTCCTGCATCCAGGGCATCTCCCGGCTCGAGTGCGTGGTATGAGTGAACAATTAGCAGGAAAAGAGCTCGTCTGACTTGTTTAGGAGTCAGCCGGGTGACCTGCCTCGGAGCGGGGACCTCAGCGATGGGAGCGAAGCCAATGTCGCAGCCTGGTTTTATCGTCTCTACTCATCAACAGGAGCGTGGGCGAGAGAGTGAGGAGAAATCCCGCAGGGACAAACCTGTGAATCTCTGAGAGATCCGTGCGGAGGAAAAGGTTTTCCAGGATCAGGACCTGGCGGTGCCAGTGCCGGCAGAGCAGCGTGGGCATCTGGGAAGCAGCCAAGGTTGTGTGGCAGGCAAGACCTGGTTGTGTGGGCAAGGAGTTGGGACAGCAAGTGGCTAACTGGGTTATCCGCTCCGGTTTTGGTAGGTGCGTTGTGCTCAGGGCTGCCCCAGCGTGACTTGTATAACGTGAACTGGGAGGAACTGGGTCAGGATTTTGGTGTGACCATGTAAAGGGCTGCCCGATGCGACCAGCCTGCGGGGAATGCCTACGGATGAACAAAATGCCATACTAACAAGACGTCAGGCCCCAAAACGGCTCTAAAAGAGTTAACGATCATGGCGTGCCCCACAGGAACCAGCCGGGTTCAAAGCCTGACATCAAATGCAGAAACCTCAATCGCAGGAACCGCTCCCGGCATGAGCCAAGACTCGTCTAACAAAACCCCGTGTCTCCGTACTGAGGATGAGCAAGCAGCTGTCGACTCCTCATCTTTTCCCCTTGTCGGCTTTGCTGCTGCCTTTCTGGCTGTCAAGAAGACAAAAAAACCCTTGGACTGAGACTCGTGGTTTTGTCGGTAACAAGGGAGGGTATAGACGGAAAAATGATCCATTGTTCACTCCACGGGTCTTGAAGGTCTAGACAACAGTGCTAGTGTCTTTGCTTTTTTGATTAGAGCAGTCTCATCATATTCTGCTCTTGGTGTTTCATCTTATTCCGAGAAATATTCCTCCTGGGAAGGCGACTGCCTTGCCCGAGTGGGAATATGAAGTATAAAGTCAAACTCAGCAGTGGTTACGGCGAGTGTTTTATCTCTGGGAAACAGAACGTGGTCTGGTGAGCCCACGCCTGGTGTTGAATTGCTTGAAGATGTTCACAGAGGTTACGGGGTAGAAGGAATGATAAATTCCAACCTTTTTTTATCCTGTAATTTCTTGATCCTCTAATTTCATTGGCATTGAGAGCAGCGGCAGGGTGTCACTGGAGCCTTTCTTTTAGAAAAGCACCCAGGTGTGAAGACAGAGTGGACAAGAAAACCATCCCTCAGATGCGTTTTCCCTATCTTTCTCCTGACAGCTCTCCAGTTCCCAACTAGGCTGTAACCATGTGAGATATTCACATCTGGCTATGGCTGACGGCTGCTTTTACTAGGAGAAGGATCTGCAGGGCAGCGTTTCCAACCCGGCACGTGTAGGAAAGCGTTCCCTGCGTTGGGTCATGAACGAACACGTTGCGAGCTCGGCAGCTGCTGGCGGAGATAGGGGAACCGATTTCACTCCCGCCCAAACTGGGCTGTGTTTTGCAAGGAGATATTGAGGTCAGTCTCGCCCTGTAACGAATATTCGCCATGTGATCTTCTTCCTCTTCGCCTTTATTAATGAAGTGAGCATTGCGTAGGACTTGCTGCCGGGGTAAGCGCTGTTCCTCCCAAAGGAATTAGATTTTGGGGAATTAGCTTATTGCTAAACTTTAGCTGTTTCTTTTTTTTTTTAATGAAAGCCCTTAGGCTTAGTGGGTTAAAAAGGAGCTGGTAAAGGAAGAAAATAAGGTGTGTGACAGATAAAAGCTTTGCTCCAGCCTTGAGGTTGTCCCCGTCCAAGCGGGAGCTGCTGGAGGGAGAAGCCTCAGGCAGAGACGCCGTGGCTGTGGAGGCTGGAGAGGAGGCACTTGGCCTCTCCCTGGGCCGAGGCGGCAGGAGATATTTACTCACCGGTTCTCCCCACAGCGTGTAGCGGTTTAGTGGCAATTAAAATCTGGAAGGGGCAGGGGCTGGCCGGGACCTTGATGTGTTTAAGACCAACGGCATCACAGCTCTCCGCGGTGGCATCTGGCATCTCATTTCCTTCCAAATCGTGCTCAAGGAGCTGCGACGGGGCAGCCCCGCGTCTTCGCCAGCCCTCCCGTCCCCGGGCGAACGCCTCAGAGACCAGAGCCAGCTGCTTTCTGCTGCCTCTGATGAGGCTGGAAGAGCCGGTGAGTTTAGCACCGGGTTTCTGCTTTGCCAGAGAGGCAGAACCAGCTGGAAGCAGAAAAAAAAAAAAAGTGGGATGAGAAGTCTTACGGTTTAGTGAAACCTCATCGCCTTGCTCCACGCCGGCACAGACGAATTCTCCTACGTTCACATCCACTGCAAACACTCAAGATACTTTACAAAGTGATGGAATAAGCAAACTTATCCCCCGAGCGCTGCACCTTGGCGGGTGCAAGCGAGGAGTTGTGTGAAGTTGAGAGCTCCTGGAGCGTGCTTTATCCATCTTCTTGCCCTAGAGTCAACGCTTTTAACATCTTGAGTATATTTGGATAGATAAATACCTGCCTACAAGAAATGGTATCGCTCCAGCCCTGCATGTAGTAACCCTCACTGGATTATTTTAGCGTGCCTGGCTTGGTTACAGACCACCTTTGGAGCTGGTTATGGAACCGGGGAATGAATTTTTGAAAACCTAAAATTGGTTCAAATCGCTTAAAATGAAATCCTGGCTAATGTTTTCCTTTTATGTCTTCACTGAACCAATATTGCCTTGTTATAAGGAAATCTCCGGTTAAAATACAGCGGGTTTGAGGGGGATTAAGTGCTTTACATACCGAACATATATACTCTTGGGACTTTGACTTGTCCTTGAGGGGTTTGGGGGAGTTTGAGCTTTTAAAGTCCGGACAACGCCACCTTCATCCAAAGTCCTGGTCCCTTTCTGCGTGGGTTAAATTTAAAAATACACCATGATGAAAGAGTTACATCATGCCCTTAAAAGAAACTTTAGATGCCCTGTAAAGGGTGCGGCATAGATTTAATAATCGTGCCTGGAAGGGGAGGGATGGTATGTCATTTTTACACATAAAGGAATTTCCACTCTTGTTTCCTTCACTGGAGTTTCACAACAGGCACCATCTGTGAACACTTTGTCCCGTTGGTTTGCCCCGTCGATCCACTGACCCCTTCTTCATGTTGTTGCAACAGGAATTTCCAAGCAATTCCCTGGCAAAACACTCCCCTCCTGACCCTGCAAGGTTCTTCAAAGCTGGAAAAGGGCTGGGGAAGTAAATCTGGCCCTGCCAGGAGCTGTTGGTTCGGTCAACTCTCTTGTAGGTTTTTATTCTCCTTCCTGACAGGTTGTTTTTTCTTTCCCCTCCTCTCCTTTGCAGCCAGCGTGGCCAATCTAAACCAGTTTCCAGGCCACTGGAAGGGTTCCACCATGAGGACCTCTGACACGGACCAGAAGGCATCCTACGGTAAGGCCCTCTTTGCGGCACAGCACATTTGCTCTCATACATCCACCTTCCGTTTAATTAATTCCTTTGTCCTGTAAAAACCACCCCAAGGATTCGATGTGCCCGTTTACCGCCCCGTACGCTTGATTATCGCAGTGGACACAAAACCTCCGGCTTTTTTTGATGACCCCAGCAGGAGATTTACAATTCCTGGGGCTCATTTAACCTTGTTTAACAAGCTGAACAAGCCTGTCTTGTGCAGACCGCTCTCTCCTCTGCCCGCACACACACACAGGTAGCTTTAAATCCATTAAGTAAATGGGTTTGCTGGCAGGGCAGGCAGCCCCAGCAAGGTATTTGGGAGGCAGGGAAAAAGGAGGAGCAATCAACTTCAGTTTACTCTGATGATGCAATAGGAAACTTGGTGAAAGAGCTGGCCTTGTTTTTAGTCCTCTGCTTACAAAAGCTGGGCGCTGGGGACACGTGCTGCTCTTCAGCTCTTGGAGCAGAATGCCACGTAGGGAGAGGAAAAGTGAGTATTGGCTCGATTTGGGAGAAAAGGGCTTTTTGCTGAAGTGGGGCAGGGGAGGAAGTGGGTGATATTACATGTCTTAACAGGTAATCTGTGGGAATGTGCGTTTTCCTTGCCGGAATAACCCTGCGTACTTTCCTCACATGTTAAATTTTAGAAACTGTCTTGAAAATTCATCAGGGCTGACTCTCCCGCCTGCCGCTCGTGCTTTAGGAGAAGGGAAAATTGTCAGGCAGTCTCCTGACTGTCACTTGCTTCCAAACAAGTGCTGCTTTGTGCGTTCCCTGGATAGGAACAGGATTCCACAGGGTAGCAGGATCCTTCCAGGACTAAACTGCTCACAGATCATCTGTTTGGGGTAACGCTCTCTGGAATGGTGCAAAAATAGCCACGGATTTTGCTTGGATCTGGCTCATTCGGTCCCAGTTAATCATTACGGTAATACTACAGGGCTGCCTTTACATCGCACAGTGCCCTGTGATGTCTTTTTTTTTAAAATTAATCTGAATAAATAAAATGCCAGCTAGCCAGCCTCCTCTCACCGTGTGGGAGAAGGAGAGTTCGGGCAAGGCAGCGCGGTCTCCTAGAGTGGATTTACAGCAGTATATGTTATTTTGATTTGATTATCTCTTAATAGCCTAATTAGTATTAGCTCTGAGGGCAGAACACACTCATTTTCCTCTGCCTCGGCCCCTGCCGAGTTTTTCTGTGTTTCCAGGGACCTTCGCTCACTGTTCCTTCTTTTTCTGCTTCTCTTTCACCCCCACAGAGGATGCCTCTGGAGAGCATGGTGAAGTCGTCAGCACCATTTCCAGCAGCATGAACCCACTGCAGCCACCGGACGCTTCCTCGGAGGAACCTTTTACCACTTACTTCGACAGCAAGATCCCCATTCCCGAAGATGAAACGGTGAGTACGCCTGGGCCCTCCTCCGCTCGCTCTGATGGGAAAATCCGATTGGAAAGATCTGCAAGTGCTTGGTACCCACGTTGAATCATTCCCCTGGGTGCCGATTCCCCTTCTTGCCTAGACTGGGAAGGGTAGCCGAGCTACTGGCTGGAGATTTGGGAGAGAAGAGAGTGAGTTAACGATTCATCACTCAGGATTTGTCTCCTTCGAAGCTTGGAGCAACAAGGTCTGCTAAAGAGCAGAAGAAACATCTTGTTTATAGCCCCAGGGGAGGAGATCGTGGTTCTTTGTTCCCTTATCAAGGAAAGGGAGCAAGAGCACTTGGCTGGCCTTTGTAACAGCATTGTCCCCTTCTCAGGGGGGTGTAGGTGCTCTCTTTGCCTTTGATTAAGCAACAAGGCAGCTGTTTTTCGGAGGCAGGCACAGGAGGATTCATCTCCCACCCCAATTTACATTGTGTCCTTGGCTGTCCCAAAGTTTGGTCCTGAACTCTTTAGATTAGGACCGAGGATTGCTGGAGAGTTTAGGATGGGATTAAAGAACAGGCTGATTTTACCAGCATCGCTTTCTGTTGTGGCAGTGAGGAAATGAAAATCAAATCCTGGCTTGATTTTAATTTCCTCTTGCTGTTTTTTATGCCTGATAGCTGGGGTGGTTCATGGGGTCAACGCATCCCCTGCGTTAGGAGAGGGCTCTGCTGCAGGGCTGACTTCTGACGCCTCGATCCTCTCTCTCCTTCAATAGCACTCGTGTTTTAGTTTCCGCAAGCTCTGGGCTTTCACAGGGCCAGGCTTTCTGATGAGCATTGCCTACCTGGATCCGGGCAACATCGAGTCGGATTTACAGTCTGGAGCTGTCGCAGGATTTAAGGTTAGTGCAGAAACCTACAGATTAAGCGCTATAAATTGTGTAACCCACGTACCCGTCCGTGTTTTAGGGCAGAAGTGCTGTTGCTGGTGAGCTGAAAACACCTCAGAGAAGGGGAGAGCGAAGCGCTCTCGTATGCCCTCTCTGGCAGTGACTCCTGGCTTTATATGTTTTTGGATATAAAGGCCAACTCTGGGCACATAAAGCAACCTCTGAATGTCAATAACGTGTATTTTAAAAGGCCTGAGATTCCCAAAGATGCGTGCGGGGCGCAGGCGTCCTAGGGGACGTTGGGACCTTGTTTGCGGCCGTCATTTCTTGCTGCCCCAGCGCACCAAACTCCTGCTTTCGTGTCTCCCTCAGCTGCTCTGGGTCCTGATGCTGGCAACGATCATCGGGTTGCTTCTGCAGCGGCTGGCGGCGAGGCTGGGGGTGGTGACGGGGCTGCACCTCGCCGAAGTTTGCAACCGGCAGTACCAAAAGGTGGGTGATTTCCCGGTCCTTGGTGGGACGGAGAGGCTCTTCGGATAGTTCCCTGGGCCTGGGTGGGTGTGGGTCTCTCACCTGGGGCTGGCAGCTCTCACTGGACTCGTGAAGTGTCACCGCTGCCCGTTAAATGCCAAATCCTCCTCAGGAGAAAGCATTCTGGTTGCTGAAATATATTTTCATTGTCAAGTCTCACTTTGCTGTCCGAGAAGCTGGGGGATTAAGTTGATTTCTTCTGGTTTGGCTCACAGTTGGAAGAAAGGCAGATTTAGAGGAAGATTTTAATTGTAGCACTAGCGAAGGGCTCGTTAAGAACCTGGGCCGTTAGGAGAGCAGATGGGCGATGTTTCAGGTCCCATTGGTGTCTTCCCCATCTTGGAAAAAGGAAAACACTAGGAGGAAGATGGAGTGAATGTCCTGGCATTTCCCAGTGAGTTGCAGAGTCAGGAATAAAACTCAGGATTTCAACTTTTCTGTTTGGGCTGCTGCCTCCCGAACTTGAAATAACTTGTCGCTTAAATAAGCTCAAGAAATTAAGAGGAGAGAAATGACCCTTTTAGAACAAGACCATTCCGTGGCTGTTACATTTCCCTGCTTAAGAAATCTTCACGGCTTGTGTAAGAAAGGGCTCTGCGTCTCATTCAGCTGAAGATGAGTGAGGCTGTCCTTTGGGAAAGGGCTGTGGGGAAGTCGACGATGTCCCCAACTCTGTTTTCTCATCCAACATCTGAGACTTTGTCATTCATCTGACCATGTGAAATATCTTCCAATGCCCATTTCCAGCACCTCGGTAGACGGAAAACACCCAGTTTTGCTCTCGCAACGAGCAAAATGTATTGAGGCGCGAGTAATTTAGATTATATAAGTGACCCGGGAACCTCCTGCAGCGATTGCCACAGGTAACCTGAATTTCTGCTCCGAACCAGCCGTGAAGTGGCAATTATCAACATATTTTCCACACCACAGCCAGGGAAAGGAGACCATTCCTGAATGCGCCATCCCCACAACCCTACACTCATCTAGGAAATTAAAGGGAGAAGATATTCTCCTTTTTTAATGGTGTTGGGTATTTCTTTACCTCTAGGTTCCTCGCATTATCCTGTGGCTGATGGTCGAACTCGCTATCATTGGATCCGATATGCAAGAAGTCATTGGCTCGGCGATCGCTATTAACCTCCTGTCTGTGGGGAAGTAAGTCGGGTTTGTCGTCAGAGGGCAGCAGTAAATGAGTGCTCCCCTCTAGGATTAAGAAAGTGACACTGAGTGTGCCAAAAAAGACTCATTTATTTCCTATAAATCTTCCGAAATAAGCTTTTTGTAGAGGGTGATTCATCTATAAGTTGTGCTAGCTCTCCGACATGACTCAGCCTTTGGTGCCTGTTTCTTTTTTTCCAGCTATAAGAAGAACTGCGGGTTCTGGCTTTTATTTTAGCTACAACTGTTACATGCCAAAATTGAGCTGCAGCTTTCCTGGCAAATTTTATATTCCTAATAAAGGACTACCAGAAAGATGTCCTCTTCACCCGGGAAAGTTAAAAATGCATACGTAACAGGAAGCTACAATTTTGTACCCAGTAACTCTTAAAAGTCTGGCTCGCTCCTGTCATTCTCAGTGTCGACATGGGATTTGCTCTCAAGATTTGGGGGGAGAGCTCTTATCTGAGTTGTTTGTGCAGAAAACAAATCTACGGTCCCTCGCCTTGTGCAGCAAACGTCTTGTCAGACTGCAAACAAACCCTTGGACAATGCAGTTCCAGCCCTAAATAAAAAGAGATTTTGGACTTTGAAGTATTGATGCTGTTGGCGGAGGAGGTCAAAGGGTTTTGTAAGTTGATGTCTGCTCTTGCCCGTCTCTCGCAGGATCCCACTGTGGGGCGGCGTGCTCATCACCATTGCCGACACGTTCGTGTTTCTCTTCCTGGACAAATATGGTAATTTTTCCTCCTGAATTCCGGAAACTAAATCTGAGATTCAGCTTTTCTCAATTTGCTGATGGTTCTTTTTTTCTTTGCCCAGGCCTGCGAAAACTGGAAGCGTTCTTTGGGTTTCTGATTACCATCATGGCTCTAACGTTTGGATACGAGGTACTTTCACTCTCTGCATTTCCACTGTTTGGTGATACGTCCCCTCTCGCCCCACCACTACTCCTGTGCCCAAACAGGACCAAAACATGGGGGAGCAGACACTTAAAATTAAGGACATTTGAAGCTGGGTCTGGGTTTCCGATTCGTGGTCGTCATCCGGCTCATACCCCGGCCTGCAGCGCGGGCTGTACTGAACGTTGCCTCTCCAATGTGGAGACCGGGACGTCCTGTTCAGCGCAGCATCCCCGGTTTTATTAAACAGCAGCCAGTTGACACGTTACGGTTTTGCTTTTTACCAAAGCGGCCGCATTTTGGCTTTCGAATATTTTCAAACGGGCCACCTAGGCAGCTGTGCATCACGCTACAAACACCCATGTTTCTTTTGTCTCCCAGTATATCACAGTGAAACCCAACCAGGAGAAGCTGCTGAAGGGACTGTTCATCCCATACTGCCAAAACTGCGGCACACGCCAGCTGGAGCAAGCGGTGGGAATCGTGGGCGCTGTTATCATGCCGCACAACATGTACCTGCACTCCGCCTTGGTCAAGGTAAGCGGCTGCACTGATGAAAGCGTCTGCATGTTCTTGTTCTTTCTTACTCGAGCAGTCGCAGCCTCTGGGAGTCTGCTTTGAGCATTTATTTCGGTGAGGACATAGCAAACCCCCTGAAGGAGGCTGGTTGGGTCCCTGGTAGAGGGAAAGCCAGGAAAGCTTCAGAACACCTGTCCTGTACGTGTGGATGCGGGCCCAGAAGTGTGTGTCCTGTGGCCAATGCCACCACGCTGGCAAAACCGACCGTTGCTTCTTCTGCAAATGTTGGGCTTTGCTTTTCCTTTCCTCTGGCATGTTCTCTTCTTGTCCAGTGGCCTGTGTCCCACTGTTGGTTTAATACAATCTAATTACAGATATAAGTGATATAATAGCGAATTCCTGTTTCTCAAGCCTGCTGTTGTCACTGTCTCATTTTCAGTCCCGGCAAGTAAACCGTGCAAATAAGAAGGAAGTACGAGAAGCTAATAAGTATTTCTTCATCGAGTCCTGCATCGCTCTCTTTGTCTCCTTCATCATTAACATCTTTGTTGTGACTGTCTTCGCTGAGGCTTTCTTTGAAAAGACGAACGCGGATGTGGTGAGTTGGGGCTGGGGACTGCCTGACGCTGAACTGTAGGGCCGTTGGAGCGGTTACCGGGGACCGTGTGAGCAAAGGGGCAGCTCCAAGCCTTTTCAGTGCCCCTGGGTCAAGCAGAGCCCACGTATTCTGTGCATAAAGAGGGGGAAGAAAAGAACAGGAATTCTGATTATTTCCATTTAAACCACTCTGAAGAGGCACCCAGCACCTTGGGACCTCCAGCACTCGTTGCTCCTCACGTGCAGCCTTTTCTGCTCGTCCTCGCTGAGCAAACCCAACCTCCTACCTCTTCATGTCGTTGCAGAACGAAGTCTGCGTGAACACCAGCAGCCCGCACTCCTCGCTCTTCCCAAACAACAACGAGACGCTGGAGGTGGATATCTACAAAGGGGTGAGTGACTCGCAGGGTCCGACAGCCTCGTCTCCAGCAGCCTGACCTCCTTCTCCAGTAACAGCTGCTTCTTTTGGGGAAACAGAGTGTTGAAGGCCAGGATCTGTAAAAGGATCGCCGTGCCGAAAACAGAGCTGAAAGAGATCCCTGGGGATCCTTGAGCCCAGCCCTTTGACCAAAAATTATCAATCACGCAAAATTATCGATCCCTTCGTTAATCGTGCTGCGCCTAACCTGACCCTGGAGACTTCCCGGCTATCCTTTCCCCTCTTTTATTAGCTTGGCCGTGACAAATTTTTTCCTTGCATTCATCCTGAATCTGCTTTGTTAAAACTGCAGCCCGTGAAGTATTGCCTTGTCTGCTGCCGATGCGGGGAATGTTTTTTTCCTCTCCTACAAATGGATTATTCCTTCTCTTTCAGCTCAATGCCCATGATTAATCCGGTCACAAGGGAATTTGCCTGCTCGCTCTTGTTCCCGCTCTCAGATGTGGGACTGATCTGATGTGAGACTGTAAATCTCTGTTCCAGGGCGTCGTTCTAGGCTGTTATTTCGGCCCTGCTGCTCTCTATATCTGGGCAATTGGGATCCTCGCTGCCGGCCAGAGCTCAACGATGACGGGGACGTACTCTGGGCAATTCGTCATGGAGGTAATTACCCCTCTCAGCAACTGCCTGCTTCCCCGTTCTCTCTATTCCCAAATCTTTAAAGCTCACAGTGGTGATTCCCCTTCCTTGGATGCGCAGCTCTTGCCAGAAGCTCCCTAAAACTCCATTGAACCAAATCAGCTTTTAATCCTACCCCGAGCCCCCCACTTGAGGTCTCCTTACTGTTTTCACCCAGCAGCTGCTCGTTTTTGTTTTTTTTTCCGCAGGGCTTCTTGAACCTACGGTGGTCCCGTTTTGCCCGGGTGCTGCTGACCCGCTCTATCGCCATCACCCCCACCCTCTTTGTCGCCATCTTTCAGGATGTCGAACACCTGACTGGCATGAACGACTTCTTAAATGTTCTGATGAGTCTCCAGGTGAGCGGCGATGCCCGGTTTGGGGGTCAGAAAAAACATCTAGCACTGAATATTTCAATTTCTGGTGCTGAAAGGTTTGGAAGAGCAGTAGAGCAGAGCGAGATACTGGCAGGAGATGTTGATCTGCTGGGGGGGAAGGTGGAGAGGATCAGCCAGGGTCTCAAATTGTTTCCTTCTTCCAGCCAGGGGAAGTCCCTTTGACTCACTTTACAATAGTTGTGGGGAAATGCTGTCAGATATGAGCAAGCCTTGGATCTTTGCCCATGCTGAGATAATCAGAACAATTTCCTCTCTTTATTCTTCTCTATTTTCTTGCTTATTCCAGCTTCCGTTCGCTTTGATCCCTATCCTGACATTCACCAGCCTGCCCAGCGTCATGAATGATTTTGCCAACGGATTGTAAGTACGAAGGGAATCGCTTCCGAGCAGGAGACGGCGTGTTGCTCACCTCAGCCACACGTTTAATTCCTCTCCTTGCCTTGTGACCTAAAGCATGTCCTCCAAAAGCAAGAGTGGCCTCTCCGCCTCACCCCGATTTCTGCTCCAATTTTGCTCACAGGTTCTGGAAGATCAGTGGCGGCATGCTGATCCTCCTCATCTGCAGCATTAACATGTACTTCGTGGTGGCCTACGTCATATCCCTCAACCACATGGCTTTGTACATCGGGGCTGCCATTCTCAGTGTGATTTACTTGTCCTTTGTGGCGTATTTGGTAAGTCTGGTTCAGCTGAGATTCCATGTAGGCAGGATAAACCGATGGATTTATTTTCTCACCGTTCTATTAATCTTGTCACATTTTACAGATGTTAAAGTCAGCCACGGGGTCAGAACAGATGGGGAAGTTGAGGCTTTCGCGGACGGATTTGCTTGGGAATTGGTTCTGTGCTGCGCGTGCTAACCCACACAGCCTTTCCTCTGCTTTTTCGACCATCTCTTTAGCCTTTCACCCATTTGCTGTTCCCAAAAAGGCCTCAATTTAGTGTCACGGCAGGTGAAAGGTTGGCAGAGACTTTGGAATAACGCAGTGTTCCTCTGTACGTGTCTGTGTATTCCCAGAGGTGTAAAATTGTAGAATGATTGGAGAATCATAGAATGGTTTGGGTTGGAAGGGACCTTAAAGATCATCCAGTTCCAACCCCTCTGCCCTGGGCAGGGACACCTTCCACCAGACCACGTTGCTCACAGCCCCATCCAACCTGGCCTTGAACACTTCCAGGGATGGGGCAACCACAGCTTCTCTGGGCAACTTCTGCCACGGCCTCACCACCCTCACCGGGAAGAATTTCTTCCTGATATCTCATCCAGATCTTCCATCTTCCAGTTTAAAACCGTTACCCCATGTCCTGTCACTCCATGCTCTTGTCAAAAGTCCCTCCCCAGCTTTCTTGTCAGCCCCTTCAGGTACTGGCAGGCTGCTCTAAGGTGTCCCTGGAGCCTTCTCTTCTCCAGGCTGAACACCCCCACCCCTCTCAGCCTGTCCTCACAGCAGAGGTGCTCCAGCCCTCCCACCATTTCCGTGCCGTCCTCTGGACTCGCTCCAACAGGTCCCTGTCCTTGTGTTGGGGACCCCAGACACAGGGCTCCACTCTCACCAGAGCGGACCAGAGGGGCAGAATCCCCTCCCTCGACCTGCTGGCCACGCTGCTCTGGATGCAGCCCCGGCTACGGTTGGCTTTCTGGAATGCCAGCGCACATTGCTGGGTCACATTCAGTTTTTCATACCCTGGAGTCCTTCTCCTCAGGGCTGCTCTCAA